ATGAGACTATTTTGTGCAGGCGTGGCTTTGTAATTAATTATTAATAATAAATATACATTATTTTAGAATAAGTTTAAAGAAACAAATTATTATATATATTATAATTATAATAATAAATTTATAATTATTTTATTTACTCTCACCTGAGGACCTCGATCGTTGTCCAGTTCGACCGTCAGTAATGCCGCGGCACCTCGTTCACTCAAAGATGCGTTTCGACCTTGCCAAATAAAGTATACAAATCTATCACGACCCTTTGCCGAGTGCTTAGATGGTAAACCACCAAGTTCTCTGCCTAAAGAATTAACAGAAATAATTATACAAAAAAGTTTATTATAAAGTTTATTTATATCTAAAATAATAATAATTATACCGTTTTAAATCCATATCTTTAAAAAATTAAAAAGATATAGCATATATATTACATTTTAATTAATTCATTAGAATATTTCAAAATCCTTAAATGTAAGACAAAAATGTTTCAAAGAAAGATACCCTACAATTTTACAAAAACAATATAGCTTATTTTTCTCAACGTAAGTTTAGGATGATTTATAAATACGGAAAAACTCTACAGTTCCGTATTCTAAAATTACTCACCAGTAATTGTGACGGAATATGTCCATTGAACGATATAACTATCACCGGAATAAAATTGACCAATGGATGATCCATCTAAAAGTGTATGCGAAAATTCGTCGATATGCCATATCATAATGCTCGTTGTAGCGACGACATATTCTTTCTTTAGCTAAAATCAAAAATCAAATGAAAAATCATTAATCGATTAGACTCACTTAAAAAAACTGAACATCAATTATAAAAGAGATTCCTTTTCTGAAGATCAAAAATAATAATTAGACTTTAATAATTAGACTTTAACAAATATTAATAAATAATTTCAAAACTAATATATTTTACGTTTTCCGTTTTACAGATAGAACTAAAAGAAATACTTTTTACTATCTTAATAAGAAAACAAATTACTTCGTTATCATAATAACCAGTGCCTCTACCCAAATGGCATCCTTCTAGGATCAAATCAACCGAAATAGAATTTGGTAGCCACATATCGTCGTTTTCATCTAGTTGTACATTTACAGCACCATCGATTTGTCGTGCATCGTTTCGACCTCGTGTCTTTATCGCGTTGGTAACGTTAGGCCAGTCAAGAAATTTCTCACGGAATAATATCGTCTCGACATGTTGTGTCAGCTTGGCGAGTAAACACCATTCAGGTCTATTTTTGGCAGACTTTGCCATCGGACTTGTGCGCGAATCATCATTTCGACTGCCAATCATACGAGCTGCATTAATTGGACAAGCTGTACACTCGCTGTAGTCGTATCCATTGTTCCACATTTTCGTAGCCAATTGCGTGGCGAGTTTCTTCCTATCCGTCGAGATTCCTTTACCGCTCCAGATATACATCTCCGTGCCAAAGTCAAATACCAGAATCTTTGTAAGCCATCAAAAATACATACAATGTAACACATACAGTGTACTGTCTTGCATATTTCTTAAAAATAAGAGGACTCAATTTGGAGATACTGCGATTATTTTCAAAAAACTTGAATCAGATTGTAAAAATCACAACAAACAATTTCTTTAATAGGATACCAAGATTCCAAGATATTGGATATATACAATCGATTTTTTCAGAAAAGTTTACGATTACCTTGTTTTTATCGAGCATTTCTATTTTTGGAAGCGTACCCCAGAACTTTTCATATGACACTAACTGCTCATCTTTCAATTCGTACACCATGTTTGTGTCGATGATGGCGGATTCATACAATTCATCTTCGTCAGGATGGCCAGCCTCAACAACTGCAATGATGTTATGAATATATAATATTGACATGTAATATGTCAATATTGATGTATATGTAATATTAAAAAAAAAACTAAGATAATAAAAAAAAACATACTGTTTAGCCTTTCACTGTCAACCACACCGAGATAACTCCAAAATTTTTGGATTTGATTCCTTGTACAAGCTGGTTTATCTTCGTTTATAGTGATTACTTGAGTTGCTTGACAACCTAGATCCTTTTGTTGTTGAATACTCAGGGCAATCTCAGCAGCACGAGTTT